TTATCTCTCATCTTCAGAGTTTACGTTTCTATCTTCGAGTGAGCTTCTCTCTAAACCCTAGTGTTACATATACCTTATTCAATAATTTATCATAAAAGAAGAAATACACAAATGAATACTTTTTTGTGTGATTCAAAGATTCAAATAATATTCATATTCAAGGTCGTTACTTTCACCTTGAAGGATTAAGCCATTTCAAGACAACACTAATTGCATAATGAATTTTAATAACCTATATACTTTCATACATGTGTCAAATTAATATTGTAAAAAAATTATATAATAATAGTAATAGTAATAATAATAATAAATAAAATATTTAGATTAAGCATAGTTCACTCAACAGATTTATGTATATTAATGACATTTAAAAATCATAGTAAAATAATGTATACTCAAATACAACTTATCAAAAAGTGTATGCTTCGATTAGCATTGTTTTGTTTATATATATAAGAAAGTTTATATAAAATAAATTTTTTCACAATATACACTTAATATATATGATGATTTAACGTACTAAAACATGAACTTTCACACGTGATGAGTTTAAATTCCATTTTATTAGATATGTATTTAATAAAATCTCTTCTATTCAACAAATTCATACTAGAATTTTACTCAAATTCTTTTTGTGATTTTTTCTACTTTAAATATATATATTTAGTAATAAATTTTGAATTCACATATCATTTTTATAAAAAAACCAAAATTTGTGTATGAAAAGTTATAATAAACTATCAATGCCAAAAAATGATTCATTATTTGAAAAAATTATGATTATTTAATTTGTAAATGCTGATGAATTTTACAAATTATATCCCACATTTTGCAATTCCAATTCATTAAGAAAAAAAATTTTATATATTTTTTGATAAATATCAAATAATCAAAAATTAATGATTTAATCTACAATATTTGAAAAAATTATCCCGAATTAATTTTTTAAAAAATAAGTTAATTTTTTAGTTCAACGAATATTTATCTAAAAATATTTTTTCAATTCCATGCAAAAAAAGTTTTTGTCTGCGAAAAAAGCTAACGGTACGTCATAGCTGTCCTAGTAAAAGCTATTCCCCACACAAAAATTTCAAATCCAAGAACTCACCGTTTTTTGACTCTTTTTTTTATCTATACTCCCCAATCAAAGTGCGCGCTAATGAAGTGTTAACTCAACTATAGTTAAACCAAAATAACTATTCATAATAAATTATATGTCTTATACATATTTTCTAAATAAATTTTTTTTTCAAATTTTATTTAGATTTTAATACTCAATTTATGAAATTTTCTTTAATTTTTTAATGAAAAAATTTACGAATAAATAAAAATTAATAAATAAAAAATCACTTTACAGAAAAACGTTAAATAGATTATCATTAAAAGAAAAAATAAGTTTTCAAATTTTGACTTATAAGATAAATATTCAAATTTTTTTTAATTTCTTTAAGAATTAAATATTGCAAATAATGATTCATCTTTTGAAAAATTATTATCTAGTTTAATTTTAGAATCAGTTAAAAAAATAAATTAAAATCAATTCCTGTTGATATTGAACGTGAAGCAAAAATTATAAGTCATGTGACTTTTGATATGTTGTCTTGAATCTAGATTTTCTTTTGAATATTAGTTTCTTATTGATGCAAACACAATTTTTTGATTATATATTTAAATTTTTAAATTTATTATAATTTTTTTATATATTTTAAAAATTTAGAATTTTTTTCAGATTATCGTGAAATGAATAAAAAATTTAAATTTTATTCCAAATCATTTTATAGTGGATACTGAAAGTTGAAGTTTGAAATTTTTTTCCCAAGATGCTGAGTTGATATCATTTTGCACATCACCCGAAGGCTCTCCCGGGGTGGCGTTAGTGCTCGGTGTGATTCAAACACGTTGCGTGGAGATGCTGATTTTGAGTCATCTCAGAGTAGCCATTCTAATCGAGGAGCTCAAATCCAAATTCATTCGTAGAATGGAAGACAAACTTGAGAATATTCTTTGGGACAGTGTCAGAACACGATATCGTTCAAAGCATTCAACTAGCAAGTCTCTCGCAAAAAACTCACTAATAAAAATTCGAGTGTTCGTTCGTAGGAGTAGTTTCCAAACGTGCTATTTATCGACAACAAATCCAAAGTACAATCAAAACGTCATGGAATTGAAACCTCACAAATGATCTCTATTTGAGATTGTATTCAAATAGTTTTCATAAAAACATTATTTTCACTAGATCTTTTGAAACCTAATTCTTTTACTTTTCATAAAGAAGAGAATCAAAGTAGAAAATCAAAACAAATTTTTTTACAAATAAAAAATGAATATTAGAAAATAAATTTATTATATAATAAAAATAAACAAATGTTTTTTTCTTTTGGTTTAATTGGTTTAACTGAATTATTAATGTGATTATATCAAAATTAATGTTATTTTATCAAAAAATATATTTTGAAACAGTATTCAAATGATTGTTAAAAAAGAGAAAAAAGTCATTTCTTTGTAATTCATAATCATTTTATTACATCCATTACTAGTGACGGTGCCTTAACGAGGGGTACATTGTTACCCTCAATGTACTAATATAGATTTATTTGCACGCGTCGGATAATCGAGATGTGAGTGAAAGCAAACCTATTTCGCAGTCATGATTGAAACATTCTATCTACATGATGCGGTTTGTTGTAGACTTTTTTTTGTACTGCTCTACAATTGTGAAACTGATTAGTAGATTGCAACAAGATTTTGAAAATAAATAATCTGTTTTAAATATTTTTTCCAATTAATAATTAGTAAACAGATATTAATAGATTTTTTTTTAACTTACATTCTTAAACCTCAACACTTTATTTTTCATAGTTGCTCAGTAAAACGTTGAGTACATCAAACACATTAAGAAATAAAATATAATCGGAATTATATATGTTTTTTAAAATCAAATAAATGTTGATAATATTTAATAATAAAATTTTATATTTAAAAAATTTCTTTATAATTCCACCTTTTCATAATATTTCAAAAAAGCCTAATACAGTGAGTTTGGAAAGTCATTAATTTTTATTTAATTTTCTTTTGAAAAAAATTTTGACCTAACTTTTTTACAATTCATTTAACTAATTTACTTTAAGTACATATTTATATTTTTCTCTGTTTGAGATTTAACTGATTTGAAATACTTCAGTTATTTGAGAAAGAATTAAGACATGGCTTATTATTGATATAGTATTAACTCGTCAAAAAGTAACTAAATGAAAATGAAAATGAGTTTTGAATTTCAAATGACATTGAACTTTTAACCATAAATTTATTGAATTTATTCTGTTTTGTAATTGTTCTGGATTTTTTCCTTCGTAGAAAATATATTTAAAAATTTGTTAGATATATTCTGTAAAAAGTTTTGTAATATTGATAATTATTATTATAAATATATTAAATATTTTTCAATAAACTTGTATTTTATATGATGGCCAAGTAACAAATCCAGTATATCTTCTCAAGTATAAATTTTATTTTATTTTTAATAAAAACAAAAAATAATAATATGATTTTTTATATAATTTTGCAATTTTTTTTATTATATTGTAAAGAAAAATATAAAATTCGTGTTACAAATCAGAATTAAATGTACTATTACATGAAGGAAATCTCATATGTTGAATGGAAGAATGGTGTTTTCATCTGATTTATAGTTTGAGAGGCTGAATAAAATTTGTGTAAAACTCCCCATGTGGTATTACAAAAATCAAAGACTCGACCAATCACCATATGTATTTGAGACATATATAGGTCTGGTTAATTATTATAATTGTTGACAAATTTTACGCAGGTAATAATGGGCTAGATGCACAATTTAGCCCAAAAACTAGAGGGCATAATTATATGAGTAGATTAACTATACCCAGATCTGGCAGGTTGAAAGTTTATATTTAAGCACTTAGGCCCTTAGTGGATCAGGTACAATGCTTCTTTCGGCAAGTCGTCCGGATGCGGATTGTAGCAGATTTATGATCACCAACCAATTTTTTTTCTAGTGAGCCTTTCTTTGAGCTTGAAGTTACAGATTCTACAAATATTTTAAAATTCTTTTGGATATTCTGGACGTCAATCATAAGAGAGCTTGGTCATAAGAATTTTTAATTCCGCATGAAGTAAAGTATCATATGTTTAGATATAACGTATATTGACACCATGTCTGGTTGGTGTAGTTGGTCATCACGCTAGTCTCACACACTAGAGGTCCCCGGTTCGAGCCCGGGATCAGACATTCTTCTACGTCGTGCTACTTCAATGACGTCTCTCACCATCGCAAGGAGGTTTGTATGTGCTAGAATCGACATGAAAATTTGGCCGTTAAATATCTTGTGTGATGGCCAAGTTCATAGGTGTGGAAAATAGAAACAAGGTCAAGGATCGTAAAAGAAAATGGAGACCGGAAGACTCATTGACGCCTGATACAACAGATTCTAATATTCCGACCTATTCATGTAAAGAACAAACGTTTGTGTCGTCTGTGTACGTATGTACTCGCACCTTTAACTGACGCCTGGATCAATAAATCTGTGTTCTGGCTTCTCGCAAGGTGGCTTGACTATAATCTGACATGTTCTTCGGCGTATAAAATTTGACTTCAAACACCACATAACCATCTGATTGAGCTGTGGGACATCAATCCTGCAATCTCATCGACTGAGATACTTCGCAACGGTATTAGTTTGAAAGCATCTTCCAATGTCATGTTATCACACATAACATGCACTTGAGAATGGTTTCATGTTACGGGTGGTCGTAGTGAGTGGCATCTACGTTGCTGCTGAGTTTTGCTCCTGTTATGTTATCTGCTATGATTCATGCAAGGATGTTTGAGAGATGATTGAGGACATTTGATTTGTTTTCAAAAAAATTATAGAGCTCAATTTTAGTGCTCTCAAATCATAGTACTTTCTACTGTTAAGAAACTCTTTTTTAATTTATGATCAAACGACAATCTAGAAATTAAAATCAGCCCTTTTAATGATACACAGCTCCTATCCACGCATACCGTAAGAATAAATACCAGTGCACAACGTTGTTCGTGTGCATTAAGGTATGGTATTGGATAGGACCAGAGATAAAATGTCATAATCAGCATCTAGTCCAAAATCTTAAAAGTCCTCTAGGTGTTGGTAGTTCTCAATCTGACTTGAAGCTACTGAGCTAACTGCAAGGAGATGGTCCACTTTAGTGTTTACCAAACGTAGGACAAAAGAACATTGCAACCATCAAACTACGTCTCTTCAACTTTACATCTACGCCTTCTCTATGTATTCCTTGTAATTGTTCCTTAAAACGTACAAGTGTCAACGGTATGCATACCTTTGACCTCATTTACAAAAGATCTAATATTTATACAACACAAAGAAAATTTCAATCTACGACAAGGAGATTGTTCATCATAAGGCCCTCTCCTATAATGGGCAAAAAATTTGAAAGTCGCCATTCTCCATCTACCATAAATTTTATTTCATACCTGCAAGCAAAGAACGAGAGAGTCAATACTCTGCCAGCGTTGTAATACATGACCAAACTGATGCCCTACATGAGGCAACGTGCAGTCATGTGGATCACAGGTGTAGGGGGTTGAATGCTGAGCTTTGCGGACAAGACTACTCGGTATAATGCTGCGACGTCTACATTGTGATCTTATCGAGATCTGATTGTACAGCTTTGGTGGCAGAAAAGAAGACAAGTACATCCAGCGTAGAAGAGGAACCCAATGCATTAGAAAAATTTCATAACTGTGATTCTTGCAATTTCCAAGTAGTGGCCTATATTACCTGCAGACAGAAAGACTCACCGTCCAGGAAGGAGCTTCAACGTTGCAGAGAACTTTGTAAATGTGCCTGTCATTTCAGGCGACATTGCTTCACCATGACTCCAGCTGTCGAATGAACCCATGACTACAACATTCTTTTGAACAAAAGCGGATTATTTCAGTTTATGCAGATATAGAGCCATAGCAGCACAAACATTCACTAAACAAGCAAAGAGTGTACAGAAAATAAGAGGACAGATAAGAAAATTCGCCACAATCCATAAGCCAGAAAGGCTCCGGCTTTTGTGACGTGAGGTATATAACTAATTCAAGACGAAGTATATAACACATGATGAACCTACCTTCGTCATAGACATGACCTCAGGTGTAACTTAAGATGTATACACAATTCACAAAGCGATGCGTGACAGAGATTGGGACATCAACATACACTTACCTCAGCCATCCCATAATATACACACTCTACCTCTCGCGACCGAACGCCCTCGATAGTTTCTAATTGTTTCAGTAGAGTTTGCTGAAGTTCTGTATGTCCCACAAACATCGATTTTTCTGATCAGAAAGCTATACAAGTAAGTGGTATCTTGAAAAAAAATTTATCCATGGACTCTGCCAACTTCTAAGAATCTTCCATCTATCTATTCAATTGTATAAAAATTGGCCTGTAAAGTATTATTGAAGTGTTATTAAGGAACAAAGCTTATTAGGTTGTCATTACCGGGTGCTTCACTTGCAAGAAAAGTAGTGGACGTGGTAAGCAGGTTGTCATCACCACCCCAGGATTGTAACTGAGAAAGAAGCGCACAGACACACTCTACACACATGCGCCTGTACTCAGAAGACATAAAAGAAGAGGCTTTTTGGCAGAGATGCATGTACAAGATGAATACACACCCACCCAGAGTCAATTGGCACTGATGAGTAACTACTTGACACGATGCCCATATCCATCGACTCACAACACTGAGACTAGTATGTAATGTGGAAAACACTTAAACGTTTTGAAATCGAGACGTGATTATTTCTCAGCTTTTTGCAGATTTTGGTCGCAAAAATGATATGTTCCAAACTGATTGATACCTTCAAGCCTAACTGCCAGATGAGAATGGATGTATCTGCCGTTGATTTTTCTAGTTCCAGGCTTTCCGCCGTCTTTCGCAATCTCCTGTGCTATTTTCACCAGTATCTACAGAAGACATTGAGGCAAATTTATGAGAAAGTGCCACCAAGCACAAAACACAAAAATTGCAGAAAGCTTTGCTGAAAAGTGTGTGCTTACTCCAAGCTCAAGTTCTAAATCAGAAATCTGCGCTTTTGACTGCTGTATGACTTTCTCGCGTATAGCCACCTGGAAATCACGCGGAGATTTGAGTTAGAACAGCCATAGAGGAATAGACGTAAAGTAATTTCTTACGGCATCAGAAAAGACGAAGCATGAGAGGAAGTCAACGTTCGGCAATGTTCCAAGAAAACAAGGAGCACAGTGAATCCTCACTTACATATCTCCTAAAAAAATTCTTGAAAATAGATCTTTCATGTGAAAGTTTATCAAACAAAGAAAGGGATGTTCCTTCTAGTCAATTCTTTCAAGAAATTTGAATAAAAGCTAAAAAATACGCGTAGAAAGAAAAGAGAAAGTTAAACTCAGGGACCTGGACTGATATCTGTACAACAGCTTTCATGTTCAAACGAGGAAAGTTATTCTTAGTCCCGCAACTTGAAATAAGGCTAGTATAAATAAGCAAAAAACACATCTACAATTCAGCATGAGCAGCGGAGGAGACCAACCTGTCTAAGAAGATGGCGATTGAATTGGTTGGCTTCACTGAGCTTCTTTATGAGCTTTGAGCGGACGGGATCTGATCGGAAGGCTGCAACCTGGAGCCCAAAAACAACACAAGATGACTTCCTCATATATGAGTCGAAGAAAAAATAATTCTAAGAATTAGCACGTATTCTGTGTACATGCTCACATTTAATTTTCTCGTGCCTAGACAATATGGTTAAAAAATACATTCACATAGTACATGGTGGATACCCTACTCGTAAGCCCTTGAGTCACGTACCTCAGATGTAGATAACAACTTGCTGTCTTGATGTAGAGACGAAGAACCATTCTGACTTTCATCTATCTTATCGTCTTGCGTTGTGACTTCTCCGAGTAATCTTGAAGCCTGAGGGGGCTCAGATGATTTTTTAAAGTCGGCACTGTCCAATACTAAAGGGCACATCCTTCTCTGCTTCTGAAAAGCTGAAAATTTTCCAGTACTTTGAAGACTTGGTGTAAACGGTGCAATAGACGATATTTTCACCAAATTAAATCTACGTGATCCATATCTAGCTCGACCGCTCGAGGCATAGCGTGGGCCATCGAGCCTGATTTGGAGTGGGCTGCAGATGATAGAACAAAGATATCAGAACTAGAAACCTGTGCTGGATTCATACGGTAGACATGTTCTCCGCAGAGAACATCTGGTGATTTCTGTCTCACTCTCGCACTGCCACAGATTATATTTAGAAAGAACATCCAACATAGCGCTAAAAATTACTCCTCATGATAACATCTACAGCATGTGATGGATTCAGCTGTACAATTCTAACAGACGACGACATTCGGCCATAACCAGAGAGGTAATCTTCACATGTACTCAACATGTGCGCCTCGTTACAGTTTCATTTGATTATCACTTGTATAACTCCTATATCAATGTCGCCAATCTTCTGATTAGGTAGGTAGTGGGAAAGGTCACATGATCAACTGAAAATTCCATGTGTACAATGCGGCAATCTCCTGTGATAGGCTTTACATGATCGTTTCCCAAAGAGAGGGCGCAAGAAAATCCACCGTTGCCACAGCCACTTCCCATCTCAAATCAGCGAATCCAAAAATTTGACGTAGGTTTCTCTAAAAGTGGGCTAAATCGCACATGAACTACACCTCCCGCCACTAAATTAGCCTTGAATTACTCCCGAAATTTAGTGAGATCTTGAGAAACTGATCTCCACTACATTTTAGAATATCCACGGGACAAACAAGAGCGGGAAGCTAGAGAATCGCTTCGAAGACAAAGTCTTTCAGTTTAAACGAGCACAGTCGTAACTTTTCACTGACATTAGCGGAGTCCGAAGGTAGCTCCTCGATCCGAGAATGTATCTCCAGAAGAATTTTCGAGATGAATGTCTAAAATGCATCACATCTTCATTCATAAGTAATCCTCAGACCCAGAAAGCAAACGACCAATTCTTACGACACCCAACAAAAAACAAACACGAAGGAGGGCAGAATCAAATATGCTTACTCAAAAAAACATATTCGGGAATCTGCCAGCACTGCCATTTTGAGACACCTTCAGCTCCTCGAGCGAATCCAGTCCACAAAATCCGAAATTTCTCTACGCCTGCACCACACCACCTTTTCCTCCACGCAAAGAACAATAACACCAACAACAACGACCACAATTTTTTTAATTTTACGCGTCTTCCATCGCGACCCTGTCACCACTGTCCTAGCCTCGTCTCGTGTCTTCTCTTCTCTTCTCTTCTCAACTCATCTCATCTCATCTCATTCGCCCATCTGCACGAAAGTCATTCTTTCCTTCAGCAGAGTCTCTCTTCCATGTTCCATTGACCACTTCTCGTCAACAATCATTGCCCGAAAGAGGAAAGCGATCCATCGACGATCACAAGCTACAATTGTCGCCCTCCACAGCTTCGTTACCGGCCCCAGAGCCGAGACACAGCGCGAGCGAGTCGCGCGCACACGAGCGAGCGCGGAAGATCAAGAACAAGAAGAGGAAGGCGCCAGCCAGCAGCTGGACGAGGAAGCGCCTTCACGAACGCTGTAAAGCTTAACCAACCAACGTGAAGCATGAGGAGATCACAGCTGACCACGGTAGGCCCCAGAGCGCGCGTCACCCTCTAACCAGGGTCAGTTTTACGACAGAACCGTCGCTGTTTCGTACGTTCGATCTTTGACCCATGTGCGCTCGCGACACGTGGCGCGTCGATGCCCGATCTGTGAGGATGCGAACCTCTTCTCCTCGCCGGGGTCCCCTTTTCGTAACCGCAGGTTACCTTCTACCGGTAGTCTTACCCGGTGTGGGTAACGACATTACACCGCCGCGTAACTCTGATCATCTTTAGTCCGGATCACGTCATGGTCATGCATCTTGCTTGCCCTCTGGGCAGCAACTTCGGTCTAGTTAGACGAGCGCCGATTAATCAAATCCATTTCAAAGCGTCCTATAATTGGTAAGAGAATAGACCACCTTATATTTAGTCCTATAAGAGAGAAACATAGCCTACGATACACTGACACTATCCAACTGCTCAAGAGCCTGGAAATGCAGCATTCTCGGTTTTCAAGGGATTACTCCATAAACACATGCTTAAGGATGAGTTACAAGTAGAGGTTATAGAATAGAGTTCCATTCAAATTAGAGAATTCGATTGAGGATATTACGAGGAGAGCACACAGCTTTATATTACTGTCTTTGAATGTCAGATTCCTGTAGCTTCATAACATTCATGGAATTTATACCAGCCATCACTTTCAGAGGTTGAGGTTCTGGTAGATAAATCACATTGTTCATTAGCTGCCTTGTGAAGAAGAATACTTTTTGTCAGAGTTAATGCTTTGCATTTTGGGTTGTCAGGTGAATAAGTGTAACGAACACAAATTTTATGCAAGTCTTCCGTTGATCGAATGCCATATCAGTCAATTCTTCCGGTTTTTGTAGATTTGCTGCACACATGAAGAAGACATTTATATAAACTTCCACCAAACGACTCAATATAGAAGCACAAAACATCATTTTTGAAACAAAGCTTCCCCTTCGGGCTCCCTTGACTGTGCCTATGAATAATCAGTTCCACAATCCTATAAATATCAAGAGTTCAAAGAAGTTGATCACTTAATCGAAAGGTAGGGGACTGTACCGGTCAGTATGACTGGATGTTGAAGGTACGATATGCTTCTGTACAGTGTAGGTACTAAAGCTGTAACTGCAACTTCCAGACGCTAAAGGACAACCCTGTGCTAGAAAATGTGTTTACCACATGATGAAAGACTAAAGAGAAGACTCTTAATTAGACGAAATTTATAATGATGTAATTGGTTTTTTTATATACAAAACGAATTACAGAATAATAAAGGGGAAAATCTTCACCTAGTGCAGAAAGATAACAAAGCATCGTTTTCCCGTAACCGATCAGCTGATTGGAAAACGTAAATTTGTAAGATATGTCCTTCAATATATTTTTACTCCAGTTTATCTCAAGATTTGTTATTTCATTTTTTAGAAAAAATAGATTTCATAAAAAATATTATATTCTCTACTACAACTCCTATGAGAAAGTTGTTCAAATTTTATGACTTTGATAGATATAATTATAATTGAGAAAACATAAAATTACGCATAACTCAGATAAAGTATATTGATTGTCGCATATTATAAAAAACTGACGTGTAAAGGGTACAAGACCGGCCTTTGGACCCTCTCATAGTACAGATTTAGTTCGATGTATCTCGGTCGTTCAAATGTCACATGCGTTTCAGGCCACTGGAAAGGGTCTGTCCTGCGTTAATTATGGCTCTTGGCAGGTAAAAAGAGGAAGGTTGAAAAATGCTGAACAGTAGGGGCAATAAGGTCATTGTCTCCTGGTACGTGTTTCATGTAACTGAATACTGACTTGGTACATGATATGTCAAACATCGTTTTCAGTGAATGTGTAAGTCATAACCATTTATTAATTATGATACAAACTTTGTTAAAAATATATAAGATGGATTCAATGAAGTCAAACTTCCTTTGGGTGAAATGCATGATGTAGTTCTCAATTTGGTTCTCATTCTTATTCATCTCTTTCTCTTTGTCTAAATTTGCAATATACAAGTACGTACTTTAAGAATGTTTTCTTACTGGAAATATTCAAGTATATTTTGAAAATCTCATCCAAGGGATTAAGGGCCTCTTTTTTCTCAATAGAAATCAACATTGCCACATTAACAGTTAATAAACTACAATACTCGCGATACGTTCGAATACATAGGTTTGTGGACATAGACTGCAGAAGATGACATGTCTCCACTCAAGCGCACATTAGTTTGGAAACAAATATAAATTTTCCAAGTTACAAGCAGTGGTTTCGCCTGTATTCCTTGCAATCCTTGCGAGAGGGAGGATATAACAATATATTACTGGTAAAGCTATGCGCAGCTTCATCCGTAGCACGACAAATCATCGAAGCCTACAGGCATTGTAGTATTTGATAATGATCAAGGTATAGGCCTTGATAGAATGAAATAAATTATCCTTCCGCAAGCGGGGAAAGAGGAAGCAACAGGCAAAAGTCGTCGATCAAGGAGTTGGAGGTTGTTCTCATGACATGCTCCAAAATTTCGTGGAGCTCGCAGGAGATGACAACAAGATCCTTGAAATTTCCGAAACGCAACCCAAATGCAGGACACATGAACTTCCAGAAAGCCTCGCCATCAAATCAAATGTCATGATCGTGACGATGGAACTCGAGTCAAGATGACACATGATCTGCCACCCTTTAATACTCATCATCATCATCATGGTAGGGCGGGACTTTGACTAGCGATCGATCATTAGAGAATCCTAACAGTGCAGCATGACCGCACTAGAATTGATCTCTGCAATCTCGTTTATATCAAATCTAAAACATGGCTCGCATGGGTCCTCCTCGCTCACTCAAACGACCAGCACGCAGGGCATTGATTGTACAAGAATGATGGAGACTTATTTGTCCTCGCCTCGCCTCGCCTCACCACAAGGGACAAGCTTATCATTTGGTCGCCATTTCTCGGCGAAGGGCTCGTGTGGCGTCTTATATTTTAATTTAGAGAATCGCAGTCCTACGGCTCTGGCGGTGCTCTGATGCGCGACTGAAGAGAGCGCGAGGGGAAGGTTTGCAGGCCGAGGGAGACGACTGCGGAAGGAAATGGCGGAAAGTAGAGAGGAGGGGAGAAGGCGCGGTGGACATGTGAGTTGTGCGACGTTTTTACCATCCCGAGGAGAGGAGGAGGAGGAGGAGGAGGTGGTGGAGAAGAAGCAAGAGGAGGCGGTGGGCATCGAAGATCGTGGAAACCTCCAGTTGAGTTCTGGTCCCATGGAGGAGGAGATGAAGATGATGGGGATCTGAGAGGCAGCGACGAGATTCCGGGCCTTCGAGCATTACCTCCACTCACGAGGCCGTCGTCTGCCTGTGTGTTGGCTCAGCCTCTACCCTCATCGTCGTCATCGTCGTCTCTCACCTCGTAGTCGCGCCGTTCCTTCGCTCTGCTGTTCTATTCTTCGTCGACTCTGTGGTCGTCGTCTTTTTCCACCTCTTGATAGTTGTCCTTCACCTTCCTTCTGCCTTTCTTCCATCTTCACGGAGTTCATGGGCGCCGATTCTTTTCGAGTGAATGGGTTCCTTCCTGGTACGGACCTTGTGCACCCTTGCTCCTCCTGCTCCTCCTGACATGGAAATATGTTTAACTTCATCGTTCTGATGGAGCGGATTATTCATGGGATGGTCCAGTTAGCCAATGTGAACTCCGACGTGAATTACCGTGTGGTAGTTACGGTATAAAACCCCTGTAATTTCATACGTTAACGTGAGGCAATTATGGTTGTCGCTGCCTGTACGGCACCATATAATCAGAATGGTTTTGTGAGGTCAATGGAAATCTCACAACCTGCAGCGGGGGGCATTTTGAGAGACATTTGGAGGTGAATACAATGTTGGTAAACGCAACTGGCAATATGTGCCGCAGTCACCTTCTGAATGAAAGCGCGATCATAATCCACGATCTAATTATTATTTATGACGTCTCACCATCTTCATATGAATATTGCCCTAAAAGTCTGTAAACAGTTAGCGTCTGCCTGAATTATCGTAAGGAATCTGCGGGAGCTTAACTTTTTACATCGGAGATTGAAATGCCGTGAGTTGGAGAACCAGGAGTAGATCAATCGAGACATATCAGGACGCGGCAATTTGCTGTTACAACGAACGTTAGTTGCTGCAGTATGGGTTTAAGTTTCCTGGAAGTGAATTTTGATATTATTTGTCCAATGTTGTTCACAGTGGAAAGGCAACGACAGAGGCACGTCAGACAACGTAATTGAAGTTTGTAATGTTTATGTCTGAGTGAATTGACAGTAAATTCAGCCTTGAAGGCTTCGCGCTTGTATGAATTTATGTGTAATACGATCATTATCAACCAGTTGACTGCTGTCGGGGCTCTTTGAGAGACCAAAATTTTGCTTCAAATACCTTGATAAATGTACGCACTCATGTGTGCAGCAGACTAAGAAGACTGCAAGAAGAGAACATTAATGAAGGAAAACAAGCAAGTCAATGTTATGAGCTTTCCGAATCCACAATGCTGAGACGTAAGGCCAAGTCCCAGCACATTTGTCCGTTGTATATTTTTCCGTTGTCTCTGGTGTTTCTTTTTTTCCGCTTCTGCTTTACTGTCACATCCACAGGCTGCTGTATTATGGATATGTCGTTATCGTGGACGGTCTGGTGATGACTATTTGAACTTTCAGTGAGCAACCCGGACTGGTCATAACCTACTGTCCTCGCATCAACGTCTGAAAAGTATTTGTATTCTCATTCTCCTTCATCTAACAGTTGAAAGCTGATCTGGTGCAATCCAGAAGTCATTATCAATTTATTAGTTCTCCATTTTCAGAGTTGCTGTCAAGCGTTGAATAGAATAAATCTATGAACCAAACAGAAAGTCTATCAGGTGAAGAACATGTCTTCAATCAATTTGACAGATCAGTCCACAGTTCTAAAGTTCCGCTTCTTTCCATCAGATTTCCGTTGCAAGCTTTGTTCTGCCAAATCCTGCTGTAAACTCGAGGTGCAATCAGGAGGGAGGAAATATATCATTTCATGTCTGTTTCTGACCGGTCATAAAAGTGTCCATTTATTTTTGCTTAAGCATCAGATTAGTTCGTGGTTTACCTAAAGATGTATGCTTTTTGTTTTCCAAAATGCTGTTTGATCCATCGATAACCTTTTTCAAACAGTATGAATATCTGCATAAATCCTTCACCGTTGAACGGTGTCTAGTGTTTTTCAGCCTGATGTGGACGTGTTCTCTTATTTTCTCTTCGCAAAGAATCGTATGTTTTGCATCCAGAGGAAGTTCGGCTCCATCTCAGTGGTTTTATGCTAACAATGCGTGTCGTTTGTTCGATGTTTCAGCTGTTTGGGCTGTACAGAGATAGCAAAGGCAGCGAAGCAAAATAGTACGCGATGGAAGGAGATTTTCAAGTAGAGCTCATGCAAAACTCTTTTGTGCAAGAGGCAAGTCTTTCAAAACCTAGGGTTGGAGCGTCAACCAACGACCAGCGTTTTCTACTTGTGTTTATCCTCGGGACCTACTTTGGTCCAGATGTGAGGGATGAACTACCAAGAAAATCTGCTCTGCAAAGAGAAGCGGAGCAGTTGCCTCCATATACTTCCGAAATGCTAGGTGGGTCTGTATGCAAGCTTTCAGAAATTGAAAGTGTTTACTATTACTTACTGCGCAATTCTCATCCTAGTGCGAAAGTGAAGCTGCAATCTCTTTACAAGTTCCTTCAAGGCCATCTTGCACCTCCCGTGAAGGAAACTTTGGAAGACGATAGACAGTTCCCCAGTTTCTTCCCTCCCCATTTACACCGACACGCTCGATATAAAGGAACGTATAAGGTGGTCGAGAACCTTGTATTTATAGATGATCCTTACTTACCAACAATGAAGATGGAGGATGTAGAGCGCTTCAAAAGGCTTAGTGGGTTGATGGAACTTTCTGTAGAGAGAGACGAGGCTCGAGGTTTCCAACATGGGTTGAGGTCAGACAGAGATGAGGAGAGGCAAGCCCGCTTTGATATTGGTCAGGAAACAGGTCAACCGGGTGGCACTTTTTTAGATGGCCTTGGTGTTAGAAAAAAGAGAAAAAAGAAGGGGCAAATGGACTTTCTTCCGGCACCACTGATTGTCGCTCCATTAGCTGAGAGGGCACCTGCAACTCCAAAGACAATGGTAGGTCCTGCGATGATGCTGCTTCCCACCCTTCTTACGGTGGAACAATGGAACAACGTTGTGAATGCTGCCAAACCAGCAATTGTTTTTACAGGAACTGCCGCTGCCAGGCAAGCAGGTCCCCTCATAGGGCTCGTTGACATTGGAGTTTCCGACGATGCGTATCTTTTCCGTACAGCCTTGCCTGGAGTAAAAAAGGAAGAAGGTGAGGGTTACTATTACTTCTTGAATGCTCTCATTTTTTGGTGCGTGCATTTATTTAATGGACAGGGGTTAAGGTAATGGTCAGGGTTAATCTTGGTGTATTTCTTCGGATTGAGCGAGATCCGCGCAAAAGTGTGCATGTTATGAATATATTTCTCTAGGCAGACTCTGTCTTTTGTGTTAATGTGATGTGCTTGTACTTTCGTATGCAGTTGATTTCAAGTGTGAAGTAGAAGGGGACGGGAAGGTGACCATCAAAGGATCAACAACAACCGGAGAGGCTCGTGTTTTGCGAGGTCAAAGGGTGTTCAACATGATGTCTCAGTTTCTGTGTCCCCCAGGGCTTTTTACAGTCTCTTTTCGTCTTCCTGGAGCAGTTGAGCCAACTCAGTTCACTGGCACGTTCGGGTCGGACGGAATATTGGAAGGGATTGTGATGAAGCAGAGAGCAAGGTCGGGGGCAGCCTCTCTAACTTTTGAATCTTGAACCTCATCACGACATGAACGACCTTTTTCTTCCTGGCGAATCGAAGTTGTCGTAGGCGTTTGTTAGTCAATATAGATTCGTCCCCGCCCCACAAATCAGTGCAGCTTTAAGGATAGAAGTGGGTGATTTTCACAGGAAGTTTTTCTCATCATTAAAATCAACCAATATCATTGAAACCAGAGAGATGGTGGTTGTCACTTCTCTGGTGAAAACCGAAGGACGTGTAGAGAATGCTCCTGTGAAGCTTTGGTCGGATGGCCGGTTTTAGAACCGGTGTGTTGAACAGGAGAGGGAGATGTACAGAAGGCCTATGTTAAGCATCCAGATTGAAGCCACATTGAAGGTTGGATTCTGTGACAATGTCGATCCAAAGTATGTGTAAGTGCGTTGATGGTTGATGTTTAGTCCGTCTCAGTTTCAGATTTGCCTCAGTTTAAGATCATACTGGTTATACCGAACTCACGACGGTGTTGTCAATAGGTGTCAATGTTAGTTTGTATATTCAGTACTACCTTGAGAGTTGTGAAGCTAAGGTTTGTCATAGAACAACGAATTTGGTTGTGAGGCTTATTAAGTTGTGGGTTTGCTGATGTCAGGATCTAAGTACTGCAGCCTAAAGGAAAGACCTTATTCTTGAGGGTGGAGTATCAACTTTTCATAGAGGTGTATCGAAGCAGCTCGCTCGCGCTCTTGTGCGTGCCTGTCTGAGATCCATTGACCGGAGAGACTTTTTTTACATGCTTTGATAGGTTGATTTGTGCGATATGTCGCCAGTCTGTCTGGTTATCTTTCCAGTCTAGATCAGGAACATGTTCAAAAAAGTCATCAGGTGCTCATGTTCCGAAATTAGTCCACAAAACTGTAAATCACGATTCATGTCTTCTTACATAGCAGTAGTTAATGTGTAATTTTATAGGTACAGTGTTTTGTAGAATAGTGGCTCAAGAATGTGGCTCAGGTGGAGAATGCGCTGTCATGTCAAGTATACATGTTTCCCATTATATGTTTTTACCTTAACAACATTTGAAGAATTCAAAGACAGATGGGAAGTCGATAGTTAAGAGCTGTAACCATCACTGGAAGTCTCTGTTTTTATTACAGTGAGCCTACCATGCCGAATGAAGCACACCTATTCATGGGCTATGGTTTGCCCGAAGTGTCCATGATCCGTTTGAACCGCGTTTCTCTAATTTTGGTATCCATGGTTTGTTCATTTGCCACTTTACGTTGATAGCAGTCATCTTAAGAAACGTTGATAGCAGTCATCTTAAGAACTGTCCGAAGTATCTGTTTTTATATTCATCGTAGCACATTCTCAAGCTTGGAATGATTGTAGTGCGTGTATGACGATTTTAAATTAACTTTATATACTCAAAATTGCCCTCTTCGCAGTAGGCAACTAACGACAGCTCGTTGTGCTTCTCGAAGATCACACGACGTTTTGATGCGCTCATTCTATTCAGTCTTTGCGGGTTTTCCTTTTCTTCAAGTTTACATCGAAGCCAATATACACCGCGTGTGTGACCTGGCGTCAGCCTCTTGCCTGCAATCTGCTTCCTTAGATAGACCTTCCAGTCTTTTAGATCACAAGTGATATCAGGTGAGGTAGGAGTCACTTCTTCATGATGTTTGTAAGAATACGATGCCAAATACAGTTTCACTATGATCTTGACCGCAGAGCGCATTCTCACGTACGTCAGACGTAAAAGTAACTGTCTCTGAAAAAATTGGCGCACGGTTACGTCGGTCAAGTGCCCGATGAAGGAACCGAAGGGGGATATCAGTGCATTGTACTTTTGGTCTCACGCGCCTTCTCCCATGAGCCTAAAAGGTATTTCAGACCACACCGTACAAAAACGTACACATTTAAACGTCCGAGTTTGGCACAGACATGTCAATCAAGACAAAACGCTCTCTTTACATGTAGAACAGTGGGAGCGAAGTGGGTACTGCCTGAATACTTCTCACTTGCGAGGATTGGTATGCATGTTTCATTTGCCTCAACATATCAAAGCACCCAGTTCCGCAAGTAGATCATATGATACAGTACACAGCAATGGACAGTGTTCGGGACGGTATTTCATTGTGTCTTTCTAGTAGAGACCACTTTACTCTTTTTACATATTCCGTTATCATTCGTGTTAATGCTGAGCGGAAGGTTTGAAATCAAACAGATGATACTTTGGAAACACAATTTTCTTTTAAAAAATTCATCATCAACATGTATGACCATAATTACAAATTGCAAACGACAGGCAGTTGCAGACAAAATAATTCAGTGCGTCGATCGTGATAAGAATTTTGTGATTCTAACTTGTTTGAACGTGTAGTCATGTAGAATGTTTTTTATACTTTTACGTACAAAACTTCACGAAAACATAATTCCTGTACTATATGTGTTGGATATACTGTCGGAAAGTACTCTAGACTTTCCACCATTAAGTTTTTTTGATATTCTAATTTCGATTCAATTTAACTAGGCACGATTAAGAAGAAGAAAATAAGAGATATGAGGTCGAACATAATCGTAGTCAATCAATTGATAATTAAAGGTCTTTTCTTCTCGTTGTTATGAGAAGTCTCCATCAGCCGTTCACTTTCAGAGTCGGGGTTAGCAATATGCAATCGCGAGAGAACACATAGTCGGCCAATAAGCTGCATTCGTCCTTCTGATTCTTCCAAAAGTTCCGGCAAATTCTGGTAACTTCAGCTCTGGGAGTACTGACATCTCTTATACGATCAGAAGTCAAATGCCCTTCATTAGAAAAGAGATGCATCTATCATAAGCATGTTTAATTGATGAAAGATGCTTCTCATCCGTTGCTTTTTCTATGTCGCTTGATTTGACGATAATCGAATCTGCAGTGAAGGCAGCAACGAAGATGTACAATCAAATATCAGAACGAGATACTGCCTTCAGGGACGGATGACGAAGAGCCTATAATACGCACTGAGGTGAAAAGTAGGCCAGAAAGCCTAATGAAGTTCAGTGAACGAATTTTCCAGACATTCTTGAAAAATTGCAGAACAGCAGTCACCAAGTGCAGGAGCTGGTAACAGTAGAGGAAGTGGCTTCCACATGGAGGAGATTTCTCACGCCACTTGAGTTTCAACTTCCAGGTTTTCAGAATGAATCCTGGCACGGAATGTGCATGAGCTCCAGAGTTTCAGTGCGGCCAGAACGAACGCGCACTTCTCATCTTAACAAGCTTTCCACGTTCTCGAAGAAATCTGATCACAAACTCCTCCGATCACTGCCCCTCAGGATTTGAGTTACGGTGTGTAATCCCGTCGCTCATGAGTGAGTGAGAGAGAGCACCAGCCTTTCCACGAATAATTTAATGTTTTCCACGCATTGAGCACTTCATTTCCATAGAGCTCCTCGTACGGCGTCGAGAGACAGACCTCAGCGAGTACACGCTGAGCTCCATGTTCATGTTTACGGGCGGGACGGAGATCTCGCTCTACTGCGACCGACGTCCGTAGCCCAAGTCTCCGTCAGTCGAGGCAGACGACGGAGCACTAGCTCTGGAGGATGCGATGCGTCAACAGACATGGGTTGATTGATAGGTACGTTAGGGGATCTGGGTTTTAGGTATTTTTGTTGAAGTTTGTTTAAGAGTGTCAAATGTACATAATATATCGTAAGAACACCCATCTTAAGAAATGCGATGAATTAACCCAACTCTATCTAGGTGATAGTTTTGATGAGATATTTGTTTGATGTGACCCATCAAGTTTCGTTTTACCCTATGTGACCCCAACGGCACACGTTAGACTATTCTAGTATGACGGTGAGTTTGTGAGTCGCATACACTACCAGACTCTCGTCCAAGGAGACACTTGAACTGTACAGTGGAAGCTGGTGGAGACACGAATCAAACTTCAGTGCGTTCCGATACTGGCCTTCATGGTTGTATTTCACTGGAGAAAGGTTGGTCTCAAGGTCGCGTCCAATTAGAAGAAAGTTTTCTCTTGAAGTGGAAGAGTAAATTTGTTCCTGTTTTGTAGTGTGTGAGATTATGCGCTTAATTCACATCCGAAGTTGCTCGCTCGTCTTTATCATATCTTTGGGTCGGTTCATGATTTAGCTTAATTGTGAACGTGTAGAGATCAACTTCCTTCTCAGCATCGCTGCGATTACAGCTCGTTGTGCCAATTTCATCGACTTCATCCTCTTGTGTTGATTTTTTGCGGCGAGTCTTCTTAAGGTTCCTTGAATTTGCTTGGATGCCAGGGCCTCTCGTAGCCGAAATTTTTGGAAGAAACATGCAATATAATATACACACTAAAGTGATCATTATTGTGGACGAGAATCTTCGAGGATGATGAGCTCGGGACCCGCTTGCTCCCACTGATGAGCCATGCTCGAGAAGGATGTGCTTGTACCATCGTAAAAGTCTCCAGGCCGGATAAACACCTCAAGACTCATTCGAATCAAATATCATGCTTAAACGTTTGCGGGAGTGATGATGGGAAGCGTTCTGTTGCAGACTATCCTCGTCCAAGAATTGCTTCTCATCTCTAGATTCTGCAAGATTGTTTAATAATTGCATATAGCTTCAGCTATGAACGCTGCATTTTAGTAGGGTTTGATGATTTCATTTCACCCCACTGATACTCATCTAAGTTCTTCTCAAAGCTTTTCTGGTCTTCAAACTTGAAGTATTTTTCTTAAAATTATATCATAATCGATGTATGTTGAATAGTGGAAATCTTTGATGACATTATCGAACCACAGACTTTTGAGATCCTCACAAGATAATGGGTCTACAGCTTTGCAATATAGTGTGGAAGACTAAATATAAGATAGAGACTCTATAGGTTTTAGATTGTTATTTCAGATGTGATATCATGGATTAAATTTGAATGAGTGATGAAGTATTGAGTATGTATATATTTTCTTCAGAATTGCACTGCCACAAACCTGCATAGTGTTTGAGCTGTACATAAAAAAGAGAATATATTTCAATCATTTATACTATCATGTGAACTTTTCTTTGTCATAATCCGTTGATGTTGGTTGGTTTGTGTATACTTCACAGTATCGTCTCTCTATTTAAAATAATTTTCTGTTATGAATGTAGGACATACTTTAAGACGGCTCCCTGTTGTTGATCAATTATTGCCATCCAACTCACTTGAGATGTTACGCATTGCTTCTCAACTTCAAAAGTTTGGCGATATATCTCATGGTAAAATATTTTTCTTTCAAGTCTCCTCTAGTTAAGTTCGACTAGAATATCAAACTGCATCTTGCATGTTGAAGACTTCATATATAAATCAAGTTTGTCAATGAACTCAAGTACTTTACGTGGTCTCTTATAGTATTGGAAACTAATGTCGGGTCTGCAAAGGATTGTACCTACAGAATGTACATTTCTCTTGATCAGGCTACTTGTCTTTCATTCTTTTCCGCCTAGCATAAATGCATGTTTCACAAGGGCTTTTTATTTTTTTGTCTTCGGTCGAGTTTCTATTGTGATACATTTCTTAACGATAGCTTAAGTATCGACTGATTTTGCTCTAGCTTTCATCAAGGAAGTCATATCACCTGACTCGCTAAGGACTCTTCATAATCTGAGGCTGATGTTCCCTATGGAAGGTACGCAATGAAGGGGTTCAGTTGTGCACTGTTGAAAATCCTCTTCTAAATTCTATGACGCGCCTTGAACAAAAGATATTCCTGCTCTACATCGAATGGTGGTTTCATTATGCAAGTAGTTGGCTGTCCATATATTTGTTGCTTTCACATTGTTTTCTTTAATATCTCATGAGACCAAACTTAAAACTTGGGAGTTTTGCATTTTGTTGTAGTCCCTTAGTTTGGAGGATGATCGCAGATTGAGGCTGGAGCAGAACAGTGATTCTACATCCACCACTACTTATTGATCAATTTGAAAAATGGTGAGGTGATGCAAGAAGTAGAGGGTAATGTACTTCCTCCTCCCTTAATCATTCTGGATGGAGACAATCAGTTCCATATTTCAGTACTTCAACTTTGATTGTACCCACCTACACTTTGTTGAAAGCCATATACATATTTGAACATGGCAGAACTAGGGATATGGTTGTACATTGTTGTCAAGTGTTCTTGCTGTGCCCAAGTTTTCTTAGAATTCAGCTGGTTCAATGTGTGGATTGACAGAAATTCCTCATGT